TTGGTTGATGTCACCAAGCCCTGTTATTTTTCTACCCCCTCCCCTCATCTCTCAATCCAACCAATTCCTGATTGACCTGATCTTTTTCTCACTAAATATCTTGTTTCACTCGGAAACACGTCACATTACGGAAGCAAGCTGGCTTTCATGTTTACTGAAGTAGGTGTGTGTTGTTTGTACTCTGTAAAGAACAGCTTGCAGTGAATGGCTCTTTCTGCCGGGTAATTATGTTGTCATGTAAAGGAGAAAGTTTTCTTCCTACTCGCACACAAACCGCCTGCTCAACCTGTTCATCTACTACTCTTTCACCCACATCAGGGGGTTTGTCTTTCTAACTGCCCTCATTCAGCAGTGTGTGTGCGCCTCTTGCCTCTGGCTCTCTGCAGTCGTATATTGAAATAAGCATGTTTTGTTTGGTAGTAATCCCATGCTTGACATTATTATTTTTGTTTATGCCCACTATAAGTGTTTTGGGAATGTTTTAGATGCCCTCTTGAGCTGTGCGTATACTTGTATGTTAAATGCCAGATGTCTTTCTGAGGGACAAACCTGGCCAACAGCCTTTATCCTTCCATCCTCCGAAATGGGTTGGTAACTGTTTGACAGTTTTTTTTTTGTTTTTTTTTGTTGAAGTGTCTCATATGCTATGAGATAGGATTAGCTGGTGCTCAACTACTTGCATTTTAAGTTGACACCTCAACACCAAGCAGAGGCCACATTACAGAGGAAAAGCTGCCCCGTCTGTCCACCCAACGCTTCCTCTTCTGTACGCTCCCACTCTCTCTTTCTCCCTCTCTTTCTCTGTTGACTACATTTAATTGGATTTGTGAACAGTAGCAGCCGAATGCTTCCTTTAGAATGGCCGGGGACACAAGGTGAAGTTTTCTCATTACAGACCACGAAGCCAGGGGACAGATCATAGACGATCTGTATTTTCCATTTAAAGAAGACAGAAAAAGGAGAGAAGGAAGAATAAAAGAGATGAGGGTTTGATAGACAGTGCAGAGAGAGGAAGGTGAAGAGGACAAGGAAGTCTCTTTATTTCACAGGTCACTTTCTAAAGGACGGAGAGAGAGGGTTGATGAGCCCGAGACGTGGCAATGTTTTCATTTTCTTAAATGCGTCTCAAGCATTGCATTCATATTTGATTACTTTTGTGAATGCACTGAATATTTGGGTTTGGTTATTTGTCTACCGTTTTGTATAAGTTCATAGGCAAGTAGGGTTGGGAATCAAAAACCGGTTCTTAATTATAACTGGTGATGTTGTCACAGCCTTGTTGATTTTCACGCCATTGTCTTATTTTCTGTCAGCAATTAACTTTTAAGTGAATCATTCCAGTTTGAAAAGTCTGCAAACGCACCTGTAAACATATAATTTCCTACATTACAATATAATTTGTGTATATTGTATTATATATATATTGTATTGTATTACTTAAAAAATATATATTTATATAAATATAAAGCAATTAAATAAATATAAATCAAATAAATAGAATAAAAAATTATACATAAATGTAAGAGAAGCTAATTATTATTTTTAATAGCCAATAGATAAATGGCTGATATAGCTAAAAAAATACTGTGTTGTCTAAATAAATTTGAAATAAATCACTTAAGATTAAAACTGAAAAAACAGGTTGCTTAGGGCAAGAAAGTATTGTTTTCCGATCGTATTCCATTCATTTTTCCTCAGAATTAGGAAAAGAATCATTAATGAAACCATGAATGGAATCAGAACCAGAATTGATAAATTACTAATGATTCCCATCTGTTCACATTTATGTGTGTGTGGCTTTTGGATTGGCTAAAGATCCAAACCCTCTGTTCTTCAGCACTGCTTGCCTGTGCTGTGTGTGTGTCTGTGTGCGCGTGGCCCTCCCCTTCTCTGCACACTCAGTGTGTCATGACAAATATATCTGTTTGTGCTTCACTGGCTGGCACCGTCTCTGGCTGGCTGGCACGGCTGTGTTAGCGCCAAGGCCCTGAGCCTGTGTGTGTGCCCAGCCGAGCGACTCCTTCCATGGCTCGCTGCACCCTTGGAGCCCCCACCCACCCTCCAGCCCCCTCCAAAAGAGCAGCCAGACTGGGGCAGCCACCCGGACCCCATGCCCACTGTGAGTGCTTCTGTCTGGGCCTCAGCTCTGCTGCCCACCCCCTCTCTCCCTGGATCTCCTGTCCAGAATGAGGGTGACAGCCCTCCATTATCTGCTTTTGCGCATCTCTCCCTCCCTTTTTACTTCCCAGAAGATAGATTGAAGTCTTCCCACACACCATGTTTTCTTCTCCACCTTTAATTATGACTTTGTCATCGTTTCTGCCACCCCTGATGTTTTTCTTTCTTTTTCTTCACTCGTTCTTGTGGATCCCCTCATTATCCTTGGTGATCTGCAGTTGGGAGGTTGGATGGGCCACTGATCTCTCTCCCCTCTCTTCCTCTTCCTTTTTCTCCCTCTTTCTCTCACTCCAAGCATAGCCCAGTTGGAGAGTCCAGACTGAACGGTCAAGCTTCAGTGTAGCTGAAGAAGAGCCACATGAAGTCCATTTGAAGAGAGAGTCATTAAAGGAATCTCTTCATAAGAGGACAGACAGTTTTACACCTCATTGCTGCTGTAGCAATGGATCGTTCCACGGTGGTTATTCTGCACAGTGTGCAAGGCTAATTCATTTGGGGAGTACATTTGTATCTCTCAGTGATTGTTTTCATCCATGCATTTTGACGTCACACTTTCATAACTGTCCCTTTCAGTGCCTCAGATTTTCAATGCTTTATTGGCATGATTTTTTTAAGCATTTGTACAAATCACAATAAATAATAACAGGAAAAAAACACATTACATTAAGGTGAAATTCTTTAACTATAGTTAATTTTTAATGTTATATGGTAATAATCGGTTAGATTGCTTTTCATTTCTAACAGTAGTTAATTTTTTACAATTTTGTTATAAATTAATATATTTTTACAGCATTTATTAGTCTATTAGTTTAATGTTTATACATTTAAAATAAAAAATATAGGTAATACATGTAGAAATTAACAATAATCTATTTTCGTAAATCTTATAAAAGTATTGCTTATTGTTGTTTTGTTATAGCATTAATTAATATACGTCTAGAACCTTATTCCCCCCCCCCCCCCAAAAAAAAACCCTTCTTTTTTTTTTCCCATGGCAATTAAATGAGTTTTTGTGTGTGTGTGGAAAAGGAAAAAATTTGAGTTCTTAAATCAAGGTTCCCATGGTTATGATAAATCTGGAAATATGATAAAAGTGCAGGCCTGAAAATGTAATACATTGAAAAGTCTTTTTTTTTTTTTTTTTGAAAGTAAATATTTCTGGTTAAGAAAAAACTTACAGAACTGCATTTATATGTCTGGGCTTTTTTCACCATCAGTGTTATCATCCATTTAGTTCCAGCACAGTCTGTGTGGATTGACACATCTATCCTTTCCTCTGTCTGCTGCTGTTCTTCATCTCTTGTTAATTTTCCTTGACTACAGTATTACAAAACATTTCCAGAGTTGCCTGAAAGCAGTTTACACTGGGCCTGGTGGTAATCCTGCCCTTCAGGCGCACACACAAGGAATCTCATTTTCTGTGCTAATGGCTAGCCTAACCCTGAATCGCTATATGTAAAACAGTGTGTCGAAGGTTGTGTGTGATGATACCTGCAAGGTTAAGCGGATCATTTGGCGTTTTAGACTTCAACTGCAGAAAAAATGACAATTATATTATGTTAAATTGTATGAGGAGCACAGGGCAAAAGCCTCACAGCTCAAACGAAACATACATTATTATACAGTAGAGGTAGATTTTGTCACTTTCACAGAAACACGTGGTTCTGTTTGTTTTTGTTGATTTCTTAATTTATTAGCATCCATATCATTGGCTGTTCCATCTTCCAATTAGAGCAGATGTATTAATTTTGCGAGAACATAGTGGACACACACAATTCTGTTTTGGCAGGAGCACTCCTGTGTTTTCAGGTGTAACCTGGCCTTAGCTTTGTCTTGCATGTTCAAATTACCCTGAGACTCAAGGGCCTCTTGGCTGGACCCCTAAAAAGTGCTCCTGGGATTCCCTCATCTGCATCTCTCTGCTCATTGTCCTTCTCAACAATGGCTTCAGACAAGCATTGTTCACAGAAACAGGTGAAATGGGGTTAATTAACTTAACGCTTTTGTAACCAGTTGGGATAATTCACTCTCTGCTCTTTTGCTTTAGAAACCTGTTACCATCTCGAAAATATGTGCATGTATGTGTGTTCATGTGGCTGTCTGTGGGGCCAGGCTACCCATCATGCTAAGCAGACCTGTCTAAATGTTAATGTGTGCTAGTGGTACTACAACTTTGTGAATATTACATAAAATTGTTAGGCTATAATAACCATCCATTTCCCAGTCATTGTCCGCTTCTCTCTTTTCTACATCTGTCTATTCATGTCAAAGTAGTTGATGCATACATTTCTGTCTCTACCTCTGGTTGATTCACACAAAACACTCATAAACATGTAGTCAGGCCAAAAAAAAAGACATTCCAGCGAATATCTCAGGTTTATTATGTCTGGACCTATACAGAATCAATGACAAATAAACCATGCAGTGAATGTCTCTTGCTCTCTCCCTCTGTGCCAGAGACCCTCCATCCTGACTAGTAAAAAAAAGCTGCTATCAGTCTGATCTGATGGGAGAGAGAGGAGTGAAAATGGCATTTCTGTCAATTACTTGAGATGGCACCCGTTCAATAACCCCCCTCTCCCTCTGCTTCTGTCTGTGTGTGTGTGTGTGTGTGTGTGTGTGTGTGTGTGTGTGTGTGTGTGTGTGTGTGTCAGGAGTGAGGTGTGTGTGTGTGTGTGTGTGTGTGTGTGTGTGTGTGTGTGTGTGTGTGTGTGTGTGTGTGTGTGTGTGTGTGTGTGTGTGTGTGTGTGTGTGTGTGTGTGTGCCAGGAGCGTGATGAAGAACCCCCTCTCCCTCTGCTTCTGTGTGTGTGTGTGTGTCAGGAGCGTGATGAAGAACGGCGCAGGCAGCTGCGAGAGAGAGCCAGGCAGCTGATAGCGGAGGCTCGATCTGGAGTAAAGATGGCTGAACTGCCTCTCTATACTGACTCCACCTCTATTGCCTGTAGTGCAGCTGGGAACAACTTAAAAGGAAGGTCAAAGACAGCTGGAGGTGAGTGCAGGGGGGCTTTTATAGGCCGAACAAGCACATACACTCACAATGCATAAATGCACGGAAGCATGCATGCATGCACATTTTCTCATAAGCATGCAAACGCACATGCAAATCTACATGTGTTCATTTTGAAATACCACAGACATAAGCTTTGTATCAAAACCTAGTGAGATGCCTACATAGACGTGCTCCCAAGGATATATACCTTGTTTTGGTGGAAGTCTAAATGCAGCTTCACATCCTTCATAAATAAGGTAACCTCGTTATGCATTGCATCATGGTTGTTGGAAAAAATAACATCCAAGATGGGATGAAGCAAGAGAAATATTGATTAAAATTCATTTAGTGCCTAAATGCATGGCCTGTTTCACCCAATATGCACAATTTTCTGTGTGTTTGTGTGTGCTGTGTACATTTTGAGGCTTAAAAGGATAGTTCACCCAAAAATGAAAACCTGTGTGACTTTATTTCTTTTGCATAACACAAAAGAAGATATTTTGAAAAATGTTTAAACTGTTGCCTGTACAATGAAAGTAAATGGGGTCCAAAACAACACCCCATTTGGACCACATTTGCTTTCATTATACTGACAAAAAATCATGGAGACATTCTTCAAAATGTTTTCCTTTGTGTTTGTTCCACATAAGAAATAAAGTCATACAACTTTGAAACAGCATTTTCAGTATTACATTTTCTGTTTTATTTGACTTTTAATTTTTATTAGTTTACATTTTTATGTTTTTTGTGTATATGTATATATATATATATATACAGTGGGTACGGAAAGTATTCAGACCCCCTTCAATTTTTCACTCTTATGTATGTGTGTGTGTATATACAAAAAACATAAAAATTTAAACTAAAGCCTAAAAACCTAAAATGACTAAAACAAAAATAAACCAAAGCTGAATATATATATATATATATAGCTTTGGTTTATTTTTTTGTAATTTTAGTACTTCAATTTATTTCAGTTAAGTTTTTTAATCTAATATTTATATTTAATTATATTTCAACTTTATTTCAATGAACAAATTATTTTTAATAGTTTTAGCTTGCAATAACACTGAACAGAATTTAAATTATTTGGTGAGTTTAGAGTATTGTATTGAACTTGCACACATTTTCTGTCATTGTTATTTCAGGCTCCCCAAGAACATTGTGAAAATGTTCATAACCTTAAGGCTGAATGCTGGTGTTTGGCTTCTGAGATATTTAATTTGGTCATGAAGCTCCAGTGTGTGTGTCCATTAAGAGCAGGCCGTACATGTGTGTGTGTGTGTGTGTCCATTAGTGGCTTTCAGCCCGATTTGAAAAAAAAAGCGATTTTGTTGCTCACTTCATAATGGCAACCAACACGTCTGCTTTCAAGGCCCAAAGGAGCATTACATTAAGAAACACACCAACACACCCACGCCGTCAAGGCCAAATCTGCCATGCAACACACACACAAAGCTCAGCTCTCTGCCAGACACTCTCAGCCATCTGCCTGATTTCTCTCAGCTCAAACACACACACCCCAATGTGACAGCAGCAAACTTTTTGTTAAGGAAATACTATTTTAACATCTAAATGGGTCTAAACAAATGCTTTTCTGACTCTTTACTAACATGCAAAGTTTCCTTTCCCACTGGAATACCAAAAATAATGCTCAATGCTTCACTAACATCCTCTGTCTCTTTCCTCTTCTCTTTTTTTTGGGCGTCCCTGTTTGTTTGTTTGTTTGCTCGCAGACATGATGGATGGGATGAGTGTGGAGGGTGAGGATGAGGAGAGCAGGAGTGATATTGAGGCAGCAGCGGCGTCTCACGCTGATGATGTCACTCATACTAACCCTGAGGAGGAACTGTCGTCTTCATGTCTAATGGAAGATGATTTTACTAACTCTGCCAGTGACCTGGCCTCTCTGGGTAACCCAGCACTGCATGACATCAGCGTGTGTGAACGTGTGTGCACCGCAACATTCGATGTCCAAGTTTGTGCATTAGTGTGCAGTGATTTATCTGTGTATAACTACTTCTGTCTGTTTTAGATTTTTTGTTAACCTTTGACCTTTTATCGTACCATGACAACCCTTAATTTAGTAGGGCTGCATGGATTAATCAAAATGAAACCAAAACCACAAATCAGTTTAGTGTGATTATCAAATACATGCGCTCCATGTTTCACAGTGAAACGCTGCACTGTGTTCTTCTACACATGAGCTGCTCAAGATCCAGTGTTTTTGAGCAGCTCAGTTCACAGTAAATGCCGCTCCATGCAAACTCATCTCTGCATTGGTTTGCTTATAACGTGTTGGGAAGATATGCACCAAACATCTTCCTAAACTTGTAGTAAGGAATGATTATAAACCAAAGTGTTTATGAAGTGCTCAGAAATATTGCTGTTGTAATTTTACAGTTGTACTATAATTTTACAGTGAAATAATGGAATTGCAATGAAATTACAGTACTAATATTTATTGTTTTGTTTAATATTTTAATAATTATAATAGTAAAAATTATTATTATTGTTGTTGTTGTTGTCCTATTAATATATAATCACAGAAGTTTGGCCAAATTGTGCATCCCTATGAACAAGCACACTAGACGTGTTTTTTTTAAATCTGAAAAATCGCACTTAAATCTTTTTACTAAATTCGTGCAGCCCTATAATTTTGTATTTCTTTCTTGTCCCCAGTGGCATAACTTTCTATTTTAACCACCTTTTAGAATTAATTTATCTTTTAATTCAATATAACATTAAGAAAAAAAATAAGCTCATCTTTTTCTTAAGGGAGGTTTGTGCCTGTTAATAACATTTCATTTCTGTTTGGGAGAAATTATTTTTTTTATGTTTTGTGCCTTTGCGTTTAATCAAAAGTATTTGAACATATTGTCAAGACAAACACAGTTATATCTTCTGAAGAGATGTGACGTTAATAATTATTTTTTTGTCTTGCTGAGAAAGTCATATGAGATATATCTTGAGGAAACCTGAATTATTCTTTTTTTCTTTGTTTACTTGTGTGCAGTATCTACGTTGTTTGTTTCATTGGTTTGTGTTTTTGTCTGTTATTGTGAAAAGAAGGTCTATGTATTTTCACAGACAAAATCCTTTTCTCTAACATAATGAAATGAAGATGTGTCATAATGAAAAAGGAGGAGTTTTTTTAGCACATTTCAGCTCTCAAAGAGTCATACTTTTCTCCTTGGCACAGTTGGACTTTTGTTAATGTTTCTAACAACAAAAATGGACTGCAGGGGAAAAAACCTAACTGATCTAAACACAAAAGATCTTATAGACATCCATCATGGTGCACACTTTAATTAGTTGAGGATGTGGTTCTTGTGTTTGGGCAAACTGTTGGTCAATACACACACCTGCACCTTTCTCCAGGTTGTGCTGAGGCCTGATAAATGAATCCTGTGGTGTTTTTTAGGGAGAGAGAGGGATGCTGGGATCCGAGAACAAGACCCACATGAAGAGCTTCCTCACCTCACTTTCATCTCTAGCCCAGATGAGAGAAAGAGAGTGAGAGAGAGGGCAAGGCTAAACCTGCTAGTGAAAGGTTATTACAGAAAGACTTGGAATTTATAAAGGCGGACATAAAAAAGACACCAACACATTTGAAAGACAAGTTTGCATGTGAAGGGAGAAAATTAGAATTCATTGTTCATTTAAAGAGAAAGAGATGTTATGAGTTGTGCTTCTTTCAGGGAATCACATGAACAAGCACTGTTCCCTCTAAGCATGTGTGGCTGCTCGCTTGTTCCCTCATGGATAAAAGAACTCAAAGTCAGACATAAAAAATAGATGGGGAAGAGCTAGAGATTCTTGAATTAGAGCTAAATGAGTGGATAGAGTTTCAACTTGAGTCTATCTGAGTGTCCATTGAATTAGAGCTAAATGAATGGATAGAGTTAAAACTTGAGTCTATCTTGAGTATCCATGGATTTTTTTTTTCAGTATGCAGTTGAAGCTGTGAAAAATCTTGTGTGGAAATACACAGCACTGATTAATTCCCGAGAGGATTAATTCACAAACAGTACAGTGCAAATTTCATTCTGTTACATACAAAGGCCATGAATTATTTTATTTTATTTTTTGTCTTGTTTTATGATCTCAACAAAGCAAGTTCTAGAGTTTTTCCTCTTTTCTTTTTCTTTTCAAGAGAACAACTGACAAATAATAATAATAATCAATATATTTAGTAATCGGTGAAAAATAATGAAAAAAATAATGGAATATACATCAAATAATAAAAACATTTATTATGAATAAATGTGTATTGATTGATAATGATATACACTACCTTTCAAAAGTTTGGGGTCAGTAAGATTTTTTAAAGATGAGTACTTTTTCTACAGGACACATTGATTATTGATTAAAGACATTTATAACTTTACAATCTGTAACATTCACTTTATTTTTATCAAATAAATACAGGCTTGGTAAGCATATGGGACTTTTGAACAGTAGTGTATATTATGTATGTATAATGTATTATGTATAATGAGTGCAGCCAATAGAAAAACAAACCATCAAGGGAACACTGGGAACAACAAATTCATTAGAGGTCTTTTAATTCACATGAGGTGTATGTGAGTGTCAAGGGAGACATTCCAGGTGTGTTGTGCTCTCAGCATCTTGCTATCTCTCCAGTGTGTGTGTATATGTGAGTGTGTATGAGGTTGAGAGGGCTGGTTTGCTTAAGGGCAAACATTGTCATGTCCTCTGCTTATCTGTGTGTTAGAGACGAGTGGCCTGCTGCATATAACGCTTCCTCTCTTCCTTTCTCTCTCTCTCTCTCTCTCTTTAGGTGTGATGAACAGCAGGCATGTGGACCTGAAGCTCAAGAAGCTTACAGAGATCCGGCCACAGGGTGGCAGCTCCCCTTCCTCTTCATCTACTTCCTCATCGCTGACGGCATCCAGTACTTCACCCCTCAGCCCTGAATCGGGCGGCCTGCAGGTAGCCACATTTACAACCACCAGCTCTAACCAGTTTGCTAAGCAAGCATCACAGTTATTGCTGCTCATACTTCGAGATTCATTGTGAACAATAAGTATTATCAACCATAAGAATTAAACTTTGTTGATAACACATTCCGCACTGTTTCGGCTATAGACATGAGTGTTATTTCAAATTGTGTGGCTTGTAGCTTGAAAGACCTACATTTTAAGATAGAATAAGCAAAACTACCATAGCTCTACATTGAAGTAGGGACCCAAGCCATATTTAGAGACCAGCATATCATAGAGACATGTGGCTTGTAAACAACCACCCAGAACACTTTAGTAAAGCCTTAGCAACCACATAAAAGACTCAAAAAAATATTAGCATTGTGGTGTCTAATTTGCACAGTAAGCACCAAAAATATACCCATCTAAAGATTCCCAAAGGAGATTGGGAAGGTTTTAATTGTATTTTTTTTGTTGTTGTTGTTGTCATGTTATGGCTGTTTAAAAATATGAAAAGATTTGCTTGGATCTATCATTCACTTGAGGTGAGGTAAAAGGCCAAGACAGGTTGATTTTTTTTTTCCTTTATTCACTGTCTCTTGTTATTCTTCTTCTGAGGAACATCATGTGTTTATATATTTTAAGCCGGAACACATGAACAAGTTAGAACGACATTATAGTCATTACCTCATGTCACACCTGACCTTTTCTGACAGAGAGCTTTGGAAGTATCGACAGCACCGTGTGGCTCACGGCGCAGACATGCATTGGATCGATTTGCTGTGTTTATTAAATACCAGCGTTGTGTGTGTAAGAACATGCATACCTGTGTACCGCTGACTGCTTGGTGTTAATACGTGTGTGTGTGTGTGTGTGTGTGTGTGTGTGTGTGTGTGTGTGTGTGTGTGATGACCTCCTATCTGGCTGTTGTATTCAGAGCCCCCAGGTGGTGACTGCAGGGCATGTTCAGAGATGGTGGCGACTACCTTCCCCCACCTGTTCACCCCTTTCTCCCTCTCTCTCTTTCTCTCTGCTGACAGAGGGGATTTCCTGTGAGCAGATGTTAGCAGGTTCTTTGATGAACAATAACTGCAGTGATGTGTTCATTTGGGTCGACAGGCCTCATTCAGTACTGCAGCAGGTGTGAAATGATTGGCTGAGATTTCCCAAGGACTAGCCACAAATAGGTTAGATTCCAGAGACCGATTAACAGACCTGCTAAAGGTGATGCAAATTTGTTGCTCAAAAAGCGATTAATTTGGGTCAGAGAAGAATAATATCTACCCAATTATATTATTGGTAATAATTAAGTAATAATAGCATAATTTATACACATAATGTAATAATTTTTTTAATTACAATTTTTTTAGGGGGAAAACTGTTTTTATTGAAAACTGCCATGAGAAAACATTAATTTTCTGCATTTTCTTTCAGCTACACCACTGTTCAAAAGTTGGGGTCAATAAATTTAATTAAAGTCTTTGAAAAGTCTCTTACACTCACACAGGCTGCATTTATTTGACAAAAATACAGTAAAACAATAATATTGTGACATTACAATTTAAAATAGCTTTTTTCTTTTAATGTATTTTCAAGTGTAATTTATTACTGTGATGGCAAAGCTTAATTTTCAGCAGCCGTTACTAGTGTCTTCAGTGTCACATGATCTTTCAGAAATCATTCTAATTTGCTGATTTGGTCAAGAAACATGTCTTATTGTCTATGTTGTAAGCAGTTGTGCTGCTTAATATTTTTGTTTAAACCCTAATAGTTTTTTCCCCCTCAGGGATTTTTGATGATTAGAAAGTTCAAAAGAACAGCATTTATTTGAAATACAAATATTTTGTAATATTATAAATGTCTTTACTGTCACTTTTGATCAATTTAATTTGCAGAAAAATTATTTATTTGTTTTTTTAAATCTTGCTGACCCCAAACTTTTGAATGGTAATGTATGACACTAATTTAAAAAAGAAAGAAAAAAGAACACTATTGTCAAGAGCTGGCAATTGTTTTTGAGTAACAATACAACTGCCATCGTAGTTACTATAAGTGAGTTGATTATTTAACTGTAATTTATAGGACGTCTTCATTATGAAATGGCTTTTAGTAATGAGGGACTTGTTCTCTCTCTGTATAAACAGTCCAGCACCTGCTGCAGACCTGCACAACAGGCCAAAGCTCAGGGGAGGATCAGCAGGGTTACGAGCACTGCAGCTCTGAGCCCCAGGGGTTAGTGGGGTTTTAAAGAGCGAGCAGTTCTCGCTCTCTCTTTTCTTTTCTCACCTTCACCCTCTTCTCTATTGCAACTTGTATGAATTAAACAAGTTTGAGTATCAAAGTTGTTCCTCCTCTGCTTCTTGCCTGTCTAAGACAAACACATTAGGATCACATTCTCTCTCTCTCAATGCCTGATGTTGCGGTACAATCTTTTTACTCTTACAAAATCTGAATCAACCGCTCCATCCCTGGAAGATTCTTTCATCCCACAACTCCGTAGTAGAACGGTGCGGGACAGTGTGGTCCCCCTCCCGCCCCAGCACACACATTGCAGTCCCCCAGTGCTCCCGGTTATAGCTCATTAGCAATTGTCTCTATGCACTGTGAGCCTGCTGCCATGGTGGCACACGATAACCGCCTGCAATGAGCAGCAGACCGCAACATTAGTCACGCATCCCAGAAACACACACACACCTCTGCCAAAATAATACCCACCAGCACAATAATGATCGGGACGATAACAGATTAAAAAGCGCCGATCGCGATGTGGGGATAGCCCTGATATCTGCTCCAGCCAGGGGTACCGAGGAGCCGTGGGGGCAGGTGTTTCAAGGAAGGGGTTGTTAGCGAAGGTTGGAGGCCTCGGGTCCTCTGGGAAACGAGGATTCTAGCGGGGCTTTGGGTTTGAATCCTGTTTGTTTTCTTTGGACTTTAACATGAGAGGAATCAGATGGGGTTAAAGGGCTTTGTTTAGCTGTCTCTAGAGATCCAGGCTGTTGAATGTGTCGTTTTAACACATAACACACTCGCGCTTCTGGTTTTTTTTTTGTCATAACTGCGGTGCGTGCTCTACTTAAAGGGGTGGATTTAAGGTGAAATTAAATTTTTTCACCCTCAGATTGCTGACATAACTTGTTTTATAAGCGAGTTAATTATGTATTGCTCATTTATTGTTCCCCCCCCCCCCTTCCTGTGTATTATTTATTTATTTATTTAATACAAAAATGCATACGTACACTGACTTGAATAGACCTTTTCTATGATAAGCATGGTTTTTTTTTTTTTTCATTTCTGACTTCAAATTGATTTTTGTTTTATGTGTGGGAGGGGGGTTAAGTGTTGTAAAAATGTCATGTAGTATGACTTTTAGTCAAACTAACAATAAGCAATGTATTTTACAGCATTTATTAACCTTTGTTAATGTTTTTTTTTAAATGTTTGTTCATGTTAGTTCACAGTGCTTTAACTGTCAACATTTATAACTTTTAATCTTAAAAGTGTATTATTGGTAAGCAAAATGTTGAGATTAACTAATATTAATAAATGCTGTACAAGTATTGTTCATGGTAACTGATGTAGTTAACTAATGTTAACAAAAAAGAAGCCTTACCTTTTTTCCTTATCATGTACACTTTTATGTAATTGACCCAAATAGGAATCTTTGAAAGTTAAGATACAATCTGTCAGGATGGCTGAAGAGAAGCTACAAATTAGGGCTTTTTACAGTTGATACTGTTCCTCTAAACATGTTGGATCAGTTGGATAAACAGCTATAACTTAATATTCACACATGCAGACGCTGAATGTCTCTGAGATCAGGCTAAATTTGTAGTTCTCTAGGGACACGCTAATTGCAGCTTTGTTTTCAAAAGTTATAATTTAAGAATAAACAGGCCAGAGGCGCGGTATGTGTGTCTGTTTGTACGCGCTTGTCTTTATTAGCTGTGCAGTTTCCGTACACACACCAGTGAGCTAGCATCTGCACTAACAATGTTTCTCCCTCTCAGTCTCAAGCAGTGGAACGTGTTCGCTAATTGCGAATTTTATTAGACGTTTCCTATTATTATTGATGTTGCAAATGTTATTCTGAACGCTGCCGTTTCGCTTTCCAGTCTGCTTGGCTTATTGGGCCCAGCACATAATAACACATTTCAATATTGAGGTGATTGGAAGACGCAGTGAGAAGCTGCTAACACGTGTTTGCTTCCAAGACAATAGTGCTTTTAATTAGCATAATCTGAATACATTTTCTGGCTCAGGTTTTGTTGAAAGTAGACTTAATTGCCTTATTCCCTTTGTGCTTGTGAGTTAATGTGGGACTCGGAAATGTACCAAATGCTGCAGAACCTTTCCTCGGCCGTTCTTCAGGCACGGCACTCCATCGTTAAACATTTCTTGGCCATGTGTGCCTAATTTGTTCTTTACTTTAATGTCGACCGGCATCAGAAGCAACTTTTATTCAAATGACTCTGCTCTACTTTTAAGTTAACTGCTCTTTTACTCTTCTCCCCCCATCCCTACCTCTTTATTATGTTTTTATAGAATAATGTCGATGAATTGCACGCAGAGCATCTCCGCAGGGCTACAGAACGTCTGCGTAGTCCCGTTGTCTTCCACAAGGAGTCTGCTGTCAGGAAAACACAGCTCAAATCATTTAGCCAATACATAGAGACCAGGCCAGGTGAGGTCCTTTACTTTTGTTGATGCCACTTCCTCCATTTGACTGCATTTATGAAGGATTTTACATTGTGGAACAGTTCAGTAATCATTAAACGAATGTAATTAATGCATAAAGATGGCCAAGCCTGTTGCACTCAGGTTTGTTTTTCAGGCCTGCTAATTAGGCTTAATGTGAAGATAAATGTCTCAAGAATGCTAACAGTTTGATAACAACTGTATAAGGTGTTTCTGTACAATTGTGATTTGTTTAATGGAGATGTCAGATCTGTCTGATTGGTTCAAAAGTTCATGTGATAAAGAAAAAGTGTTGTCATATTCATCTATAGTCATTTTGTGATTGCGCCCAGGTGAGAATGAACTCTGTCAACTTTTAATATCGCTCTCTCTCGTTTCAGAGGTTAAAAGGCAGAGATCAGTGCCTGAAGATCTAAAGCGGGCAGCCGAGGAGAGAGGAGCTCTGACAGAGACAGAAGGACGAAAGCCAACTGAAGATGAAGTACTTAATGCATATTTAAATTCTCTGTCAGAGCTGTTCATACTGATGTTGTCTGTGACACCAGGTCATAGTTGGACGTCAAACCTGCACACAGTCATTCACATCTGTCTGAGGGCCAGAGAGGTTTTTTATCAATCTGTTCTTCCCTAAAGCTGAAGAGACCAGCCAAATTAGACTGCTGTTCCCTGATAATTGCAAGATTAGGAAAAAAGGAAATGGACAGAACTGTGGATATACCTCTTTCACTATATACTGTATATATATATATACAGGGCCTAAAACAAACTTTTTGCCAGACCTGCCATTGGCAGGTGACTTAAGGAAATTTACCGGCCAGAAATATTTTTTATCAGCCACGGAAAAAAAAGACAGGCAGTTATGACACCAAAATTTTAGATAATAGCAAAAAATCACAATCCTTGATTCCAGTTTCGATACCTGCTAAAACTACTAGCTTAACCAACATAAATTTAATAGGCTACATTTTTAAAGACTAGTAAATAGTCAGTTGTAAAATAAGAGCAAATCAAATTACAAACAATAGCACAAAATAGCCTACTATACAACAAAGATACAAATGGAAACGTGCATTTCAGGCAGGTCTAACAGTGATTTTCAGGTAGCCTGCAGAAATTTAATAAATTATGCTAATCAAATAACATAGGCTATATATCTTTTTTAAAGTTCAAGAGCAGTGAGTGATTGATTTTTTCTTTATCCTATTTTCGCGTCGCACGCGTCGCACGCGGCTCGTGTCCGGTTTCTTTCTCAGTTGTTCATGTTCACTTAAGAACCGACTACTTTACTAGGATACTCACTGAGACGGACATTTTTGACATAATTTTGTGTTAATTTGTCCGTAGGAAGGAAGCAGAGCTCAAGACGCGGCTTTCAGGCCGGGGTTTCGGATGTTTAAACTTCCCACACAGCACGAGAGTAACGCGTGTCCTTTCGTGTGTTCTAGCTCTTGAATATTTACTTTACTTTAAGTCATTTAGCAGACACTTTTATCCAAAGCGACTTACAAATAAGAAAAAGTAATTAAAACTAAAAGCTAAAACTCTATAAATACTATATATATATATATACACACATTTAAGAAAATTAAATAAAAATGACAAATGCATACAACAACATTTCAAAACTAAACATTTAAATAAAATCAAAAAAATAAAGCTAAAAACAATTCAAAATATTAAAAGAACAAAAGGTATGAGTATAATAACGATTCTAACATAACACTAAGCCAAACACCAAAAAAACAACTACATATGTGTATGTACAGCAAAAACTGAAACAGAAGTGAAACAAGTAGTAGGAATTTACACTGCAAAGGCTTAAACTTTTTCAATGAAGCAGCACTGACCCGTCAACTGTACAGAGCGTCGTTCACGTTTATGTTCTCACAACATTGCACTGTTAGAATTTATAAAAATGTTACCGGCCATCTGGCGACTGACACAGTTTCATATACTTGCCAAAGCCGATTTTTACTCTCATTTGGCGCTTGGCGAGTGTTAATTTTAGGCCCTGTTTAGCAGTATTTCACATTATTTTTCAATGGAATAATAAAGTGCGACACATCTTGAGTTTTATCTCTAGATAATGCATTTTGAACTGTGATTGTTATCGGGATGTGAAGAGACTTTCAACCAGCATAACAAAAATATATATATATATTAAAATAATAATTGAAATATCAAATAGTTTAGAATTATATCATTATCTTTTCTTATCCCATCTTCATTCATTCTCTCCATGTAGGCTGATCTAATGAAATTGTAATTATTGCGGCACCATATATAGGGCCAGAGCATAGGGATACATACCTTGGGAAAAGTGAGATATATAGAGACACAGAAAGAGAGAGAGAAGGTCAGTAGAGACCAGCTTTGCCCCTCTCTGTGTAGGGGTTAATGGGTGTTGAACTTGCCCATTACCCAGCTCAAGCTGAATTACCCAGCGAATGATGTTTGCATTAATATAATATATATGGAAATTTCAACACTTAATTATGGCAGAGAGGCGAGAGCAGAGGGGAGGGGGCTGATCATGTGTAAAATTGATTTGTGGGAGAAGTATTTGATAGAGCAGCGAGAAAGAGGAAGGTGGAGTTTGATGGACAGCAGGAGGACTCAGGCAGAAAAAGTGCTGTTTGGATGAAAAAAAAACTTCTCCATTTTCCTCATTCCTATTATGAAATAAGGTGCATCAGCACTACAAATATATATATTTTTGCAGCAATGTGAATTTAAATTAGCACTCTTTTCCCCCTACCCCTCTATCTCAAAATAGTAGGAAGGAGGAGAGGACTGAGGAGGGCGATAAACGAGTGGAATAAAGTGGGGGTGGGAGTGCTTGTCACTATCACACACTTAGAAATAAGCGTGCAGTTTAATTACTCTATTTCTCCCTAATCACTGTCTCATCCCTCACTCCAGTGTTTCCCATGAGCCAGAGGGTACTGCTGCCACCAGGGCCACGTGTGAGAGGGAAAAGGAGCTCGTTTCCAAATGTGTGCATGAGTGAATCTGAGCACACGCATGTGCTGCGTAGATCTCTTAGATCCCTGCTGATAGGCCCTTAGGCACTGACCCACCTCTCCCATATATTTCAATTTTGTCTCTCTTTGTGTCAGTCTCCAGACTGCTGTAATACTGGATTCTCTCTGAGGTCATTTAGCGTGTTATATTGGTGTGTAAACGCACCCTGCTGCCCGAGGCTGTATGTGTGAAGTCAAACCTTAGCATTTAAAGCTACAGTCTGTAACTGTGGAAAAGAAATTTGAATGCCAGGAATTATAAAAGACAATAAATATGTAAAAGAAAAAAATGAATAAATCTTAAAAAATAAAAAAATATACATTAGTTCTCAGTTGTATTTTTATTTTAAATTTTATTTAAATGTATAATATGTTTAATGTGATGAATTCACGCATGTAGCCAAACCTCAGCATTCAAAGCTGTAGTCCATAACTGTGGAAACAGATATTATTATGCCAGGAATTAAGCAATTATTAAATTAAATAAATAGATCTTCAAACATAGTAGCATACATTAGCTCTGAGCTGTATTTTATTATTCTGTTTGTATGTTTTAGCTACATGTATAATATTTTTAATATAATAAATTCATGCATGTAATCATACCTCGGCATTTAAAGCTACAGTCCGTAACTACTGAAAGGAAGTATGATATTATAATGATATTATTATGCCAGAAAGTAAGGCAATGAATAAATTAAAATAAAGAAATCTTCAAATATAGTCAGAAAAATGTATACAGTAACTCTGAGTTGTATTTGTATGTTTTATTTTATTTGTATGTTTTATATACATATATAATATTGTTAGGGTGATCAATTTTACGCATGTACTCAAATCTCAGCATTCAAAGTTACAGTCCATAACTGCAAAACAGATATTATTATGCCAGAAAATAAGGCAGAATAAATGAAAATCAATAAATCTTTAAACATAGCCATAAAAAATGTATACAGTATACAGTAGTTTTTATTTAATTATTTTTTTATATTATTATTTTTACCAGAATACATTTATTGTATATTTATATAACACATTTATTTATTATATTTTATTAATTATTAGCTTAATTTTTTTCCCAAATAATAAATCTTTTTTGATGTATTATTTTAATACATTTTTTTATCACCTCATCTTAGTAATTAGTCTAATTTGGGGATTTTTTAATATAATTTTTACCATTTTTAATATAATTAATTTTTAATATTTAATTTTTTTTTATTTTAAAATTGACAGCAATACATCATTTCCAAAGAAACCAGAAAAAAAGAGCTTTCATTTGCTTAATTAATTAAAGCAATATTCACCAGTCATCATTATGACCACTGTTCCCCTGGTATTTAAAAGCTATATAAACCCTGGATGTGATGCTTCATTTCAAACCTCTCATCACTCCCCCTTCCTCTCGTTTGTTCTTGCCCAGCAGAAAGCGTTCAAAGACACCAGTCAGTACGTGGTGGGAGAACTGGCGGCGCTGGAGAGCGAGCAGAGGCAGATCGACACACGGGCCTCACGTGTGGAGAAGCGTCTGCGCTATCTCATGGACACAGGTACGCCGCCCAATTACACTGTAAACAGTTTTGGCAAATTGAGCGTTCACAAACTCTTATATGGAGTTTGGGAAGTGTGAATCTTTGAAGCCGGGATGTTGGGGCGGCAGCGGGGATATGAAAAGGGGCGGTGAGGATGCAGGGAGGCTCTCTGGGCCGCCGTGATAAGAGAGCCTTCATGGGAGCTGATAACTAGTGCTGATAGCGTCCGCCAGCCAGCCACTATTGAACAGTACCGTGCAGCCATGCGCAACAGAACCCCATATCTGGCCTTCAATGATATGCTGTAGAAGAGAGAGAGAGAGAGGGGGATATGGCAGAGGGGTAAAGGGTGAAGAGGAAAGGAAGAGAAAGGGGAGGGCTGCTGTTTGGGGGCTGGACCGAAAAGGAAATGTTGAAATAATGAAAGACACACATTAATAGATACATGCACTTGCTCTCCTCCTCCCTCTCTCTCTCTCTCTCTCTCTATCGCATATACACATATGAAAGGATGTGGGGCGATCTTTCAGGTGTGTATAACAGGGAAAAAGGGCTGCTGAGCCTTTGTTAAAACATGGAGCTCCGTTCTGAGACTCCAGTGCCTCAATAACTAAAATTTAAGAAAAGCTTCCTTCCATCCAGATGCTGATACGAAACAATAATTTCTCACAAGGGCAGCGTCGGGAAGCGGGGGTTGAAAAAAAGGTGGAGAAAGTAGACGGTTACATTTTTATGCTTCTCCATCACATTGAGGACGATATCGTGACTATCACAGTTTTGTGTTTGCCCAACCTTCCATCTATCCCTCTCTCGCTGTCTCTCTTCACACTCACCTGGGCCCTGTTGAAGTCAAAGCCGCTGTGTCCGTTTGAAGGTTTTTTTTTTCTCACTCTGAATGATAAATGGCTTGAATGCCCTAGCAGATGGAGAACCAAACCAGACATTTCGGCAAGATTTACACACTCACACACACAGAAATAAGAGTTGCAGTTACACACCGGACCCCATGTACGAGTCTCACCTTAATGTGCTTACCTGTCTGAGCTAGTGCACGCATTTCAGCACTGCAAAGAGGTGAATTCACGCCTCTGTCAACATAGTCTGCCAGCAAAAGCCTCTATAACTAAATATACACAAAACAAACAATGTCATGTATGCTCAGAATACACATATTGAATGTAGTCATGCTAAGCTATGTTGCACTAAATTAGTGCAAGTATTATTAATAAGTAAGGGATTTATGTAAATTTTTTTTTTTACTGCATTTTTCTCCTTTTTGATCATCTTTTTTCAGCATATAATTCTTTTTTTTTATGTCACTAGAAATTATTCAGATAAATATATATGACATATGAATATATATGATATTTAAAGTTAGGGTTGTGGTCAGTATAATAAT